TTTTACCAAAGTTACCATGAGCTATTGTGGGAGGTCCAAAGAAACACCGGTTGCAGACCCTGTTCTGGAGCGATGAGGCTCTCTCTGCTCCAAGTTTGGGATTTAAATGCCTCATCTGGTCCATCAATTAGCATTAGCATGTGGTTTTTAAAAATAAATCAATATTAAGTTGAAATTTATTACAAAAGTAGTAAACTTTATCAAATGGGTAACTCTTCCAGTGTAGCTTTACCTTTTATGCTCAGGTCAGTTTATAGCTTTAATCTGGTCAATTGAATTTACAGAATTGCCAATAATTTAATGCAGAGGTGGAAGATTATTTTTCCTTTCCAAAGGAAGCAAAGTAAAGCACACTTCCAACCAGAAACTCAAACCTAATCCTTGTGAGCTGATGTTTTAATTTTCCTTCAGTGCACTGGGGAAAATAAATAAAAAAGGAAATAAGCTCCCATCGTGCTGCATGTATATTAAAAACTACTAAAGTAAAGCAAGTCCTGTGTTCGGGTCTCTAAAGCATTTCTGTAGCCACTACATCGTCACTCCTTCCAGTCCAAAAGCTTAACAGCTGGTCAGACCTGTTAAAGGAAACATTTATACAATACATAGATGAAGATCAAGCTCCCTGTATCAAACACCATCAATTATACTAGATCTTTGTATAGGTTGCATTCTGTTGCATCCAGGTAATGTGGGAAATTTAACCTGGATTCATTGGAGAAGATAAATCTTACCTGTTACAAACCAACTAAACAAAGTCTGATATTTGTTAGAAAACAGGCGAACAGAAAAATTACAAAATCTTATTCTTGCTGTTTGTCATCTTCTGATTCAACAACAGGGAAGTCAAATAATGTCTGAAAATGTATTTTAAAGAAACAAATCATAGTAAAGGCTGAAATACTGAGGTTTCTTAAGAGCTTAGGTGTAAACCGTGAATCAAGCGGAAAATGTAACTATGAAGAAAAGCTGACAGTAATTCACAGTCAGAGCTACGACTTGATCCTAATACAAATATATGGATGGCCCAGACATTAGGGTGATGGACACCGTCCAACCACAAAGATTTGGAAATCACCTCCAAAAAGATCTGCTAACTAATTATAGGAAGCATTTAATTTGTGTAAATTAAATTACATTTTCCATTAATCTTGTAAAAATCTAGGCCTTTTATGTTGTTAAACTAAAGAAAAACTGTTGGAAAAAAAACAAGTTTCCATCTAAATTGCTAGCATTATGGAAATCGTTAAGCTCAACTCTAAATATACTTTCCCACAAATCTGTAAAAGCTGTCAGTTGTTCTGTAAATGTCAATCCATCTAGAATACTACTGCAATAAAATTTATTTTATCTTAAGATCACAGCACTTCTGTAAACAATAGATTTCCTTAATGGTTAAAATTGGTGATAGACTTAAAGTATAAAGATAAGTAAGTTTAAGCTGAAATAGAAAAGCTCCCATATTAACTATTCAGATATTTATTTTAGATCTTAATTGATGTAATGCGTTTAAATGGGATCATTCAATAAATGTTATGGGTGGATGGATACATTACCTTTTAAGTATAATTTAGGCTGTTGCAAGTCCTTTCCAACTTCTGGGTGTTAAGCAGAACACTATTCATAAATCCTATGAATAGTGGCTCAAAAGTTTTTTTTTTGTTTGTTTGTTTTTTTTTAATAGAAGAACTTCTGCATAAATCCCGTCATCCATGGAGATCTGGTCAGAGAGACGTGGTCCAAAAAAAATAAAAAAAATAAAAACACTGGAGAAGCATTTATGAAGCTCTGAATCCATGCAGCTATAAGACCAGAGTCCAACGCTGGCAGAAAGAAGCACTTTTAATTCACTCCAATATGTTTTTGTCATATATCAACATTTTAACTATGGTTTATTTACCTCCCACTCTGACCTACTTTGTTATTTACATTTTAAAATATGAATTCAAGCTGCAGTCTGGATGCAAATTTTAGCTCCAACTGAACCGTTACATATGGTCAACTGTGGGAGATCTTTTTTGATAAAAGGCTCTGCCTCACTGGCACTAAACGATTGATAAAATGATGGGTCAGTTCATTAACAGAAGCAAACTACAAGTGCTTATAATTATACAGTAAGAAAACTATCGTTTTAACCAATCTTGTCCCTTAGGAATCATGAGGATGTGGAACACTGCATTCATCTAATAGAGAAGAATCCCTATTAGCGGTTCTTCTCTTCATATGAACAGATGACATCATGAAAACTATCAGCTTAAAGGGGTTCAAGTTCTTCAGCAGCTGCCATTTACAGCAATATATCCTAAAATATCAAATACACACTCCTGTGTTAACAGTGTGTTGATCCACTGGGTGCTTAACTTGATGTCACAGGCAACTGGAGAGTGTGCCATGCTAATTCAGCCAGTACTGAAGCAAAATGCAAAGAGAATTCTTCTAAGTTGTTCTAATGTTTTCCCCAAGTAGCTTTGCGCAGTTTTATTTATTCATTTAAGGTTGAATAAATCACCTGCAACCCCCACATCAAAATATATATACATACACACACACACATTTAAGACCAACATTTACATGCAAAACTCTGAACTAATTGGGAACCTCGAATCAGCGTACAACAGGTCACAAAACGGTAACATGGTGCTTTTCAATGGCTCGCACAGATCTGCTAATCAGCTAACGCTGATTTTCCTTAGGGTTGGCATTTTCATTAACTTTGGATATGGGCAGTTAGCTTCTCTCATCTGTTGTGGGACGTCTTATTCCATTAGGAATGCTTTCTGCTTACTGCTCGCTAAGAGAAGAACCATTCTGAAAGGGAAGTAGCAGCTAGCTGAAGGCAGCTAACGATGACCGTTTCTCAATATGTGTACTTGTGCATTCTCGTGTACTAGAAAAAACGTCATCAGCCTAAGCCCTAATACTGTTCCAATTCACAAGAAAGACAGAACGGACAAAAAAATCCTGGTTGTCGTCCCTTCCTCTTTACCCAGCATGCATCAAAGCATTGTCAGTTCTTGAGATTGACAGCTGTCCCAGCATGCACTGTGGGAGCAGCAGCTTCCAGGTTAACGCTCACAGAGCTCAGAGTATTAAGTTAAAAGTTCTCTTTTCTGTTGCCGTTCAATAAAAGTACGTTTTAAGAACATTATAGTTCTAAGCGTCACTATGTGGCCCATTTACTGATTTAGTGCGTGATTAAAAGAAAACCAGCGGAGCTCTGAGGCTAACCGCAGCAAGGGCTAACGTTAGCCCGTCTGCAGCAGCCCTCTTTCTGCATAGCCGTGTTAAGTACAGCTAGCTCTGGTGGCGATTTTTTTTGTTTTACTTGGAAAAATGTTAATTTGATTTGTGTTTATCTGACTGTGTTAATTATTATTCCCCCACTGTATGAAAAAAGTCAGTTTATTATTAATTAGAGACTAATAACCAGAGGAGAAATCCAGCTCCAGACGAGCAAAGCATGTTGTGACGTCAAGAGTACACTTCTTTTCCAATTGACCCATATTTATGCTGCATGCTCCCGTTCATACCGAGTCCACAGTTTCCCTTGTTCTTCTCAAGAATATACTTGATGAGGACATGAGTCTGAACTCATGTTATTGTGAATTGAGAAACGGTTAATGTGTAGCCACTGGCTGGAAAAGATGTAGAGAAGTCTACAACTCCTGCGAGAGATCCCCAGTCTACTTATAGCTGATGACGCACAGGACGTCGGACGTGCTAGTGGTCACAAGTGGTGAGGTTTTAAATATTGCCACGCATGGCGTTTGTCCTGCATCCATTATTACATTGTGTGACTTAATCTAAACACCTGCTCATGGGTAGGCCAGCTAATATTTCAGTTAGCAAAACAAGGGTAAGTGTGGCTAACCCAATTTAGCTATGCTGACCACTGTCGCAGGTGCAACCCATGTCCGGATGGCGTTTCTCCCTCTCACGCAAACCCAGTTCTGGGAAGTTCAGAGGGACTTTTTTCCTTCTCTCGGTACTTGGTGTTGAATCACATTGACTTATAAATACTAAAAAGGTACTACTATGCATTCTGGCTTAACCTTGCATAAATACATGCATACAAACAACCAACTAGCCAAGATAGGAAGGTTAACTATTGTTGATGTGAAAATCCACCATACTGAATAATTGGGTATGATTGTATTTTAAGGTGAAGAAATTCCAAACTAAAAAGTAAAAATAAAATAAAAATAAAAAAATTGGGCCAAGAAAATACACTGGATTTCAAAAGTTGCTACAAATGCTAACAAAAAAACAGTAAAGAAAAGCAGTACATAATGGGGACTAAGACAACAGGGGTAAACCAAAGGTCACCACTTGTGATTCAATAAACGTTTAACACATTTGAGGTGTTTCATAAAAATAGCGAAAGATGGAAAACGTTTTTCGATTAGTTCTGACGCTGCAAAAATTAAACTCTGATGACTGATGAGCTTTTTTTGCTGTCAGTATTTTAGAAGCCAGCATTAGAACCAGACATCCCTGTAAGGCATGTACCATCGCTAATCTGTGAGCCAGGCTACTTTCCAACCTTTACTTCCTGTTTATTAGAGCCAGGTGCAGCCCAACATTATGTTTTGATTTTGCCTGGTTCATTTGCTCCAATAGATGCATTATGGTGTTCATGAGACCTTTGCGGCATGATGCTTTTTCACCCAACTCAATGAAAATTAAACACTGACTGCTTTGAGAATTACTATTACCAAATCGCTACTAGCGATTAACAATAAGCCATTTACGAGACAATGACCTTTTAGGTCTAAGAAGTGATCTGCTGTACACCAATACGCTGTTCCCTTCATTGGAAAATGCACAAGCTGCACGGAGGCTCTTCAAGTTTAACAACATATAATGAATTGCATGTATATGTGGTCATTGGTCGTCATAACAGCTACACATTTCCTGAGCAAGATTTGAACCCATTAATCCCCCAGAGACCCTTACTTCTAGTTTTCAGCTGATGAGTTAAGTTTAGGAATAAATGTTGACGGTTTTCCTGATGGAACCAGTTTGTCTTTATTATAGTCACGTTTCAACTCCAAATAGTACGGCAAAGCACAGCCATAGGAGGTTCAGAAAGGTTACAGTTATCATTTCACGACGATTCACAGAGAACACCACATCTAGAAATGAAAAGTATACATGGTCTGAAAGAAGATCTGGATCACACCAGGGTGACCTCTCTACGCTAATGACAATACAAAGTAAAAAAAAAAAGGGAAAGTATTAACGATAATAAAACTAATGTGGCTAAAATGATGCAACAATTTTAACTTAAACACAATAATTCTGAGTCAACATGTTCGCCTTGGGAGTATCCATAGAAATGTGGAAAGTGCTGCTGGAATCAACAAAAAGCAGCATCTAAAAACGGGGCTTCTTAAGGGGGCCATCAAACTCCTCGCGGACGCGGCCGTACCCTGAGGTACCTGCACCCATTCCTCTAGCACCTCCCTGGGCGAAGCGCTCGTTGCGCTGTTTTGAATGAATTTACAGGGAGATGAGGAGCAAGGAAGGGGGATAGATTCAGTGCAAAAGCACCACACAGTTCATGTCCAGGTGGAGGCGGGTAAAATGTGTGGAGTACAGGTGCATTTGTATAGTGTGTGAAGGTTTATGAAACAATCAGCAGGAGACACATCCGGAGAAAGCGTTCGTTCCAATAGAAGGTCCACAGGAGCCACAGGTTACATACGGAGAAGGAAAAGAGGGTAATGTTTTCATTAGTCTGTGCCTTGCTGTCATCTTCTGTTCTCCAGTGCATGCTAACTCACACCTAATAAAGCTCATAAGCCAACTTCACTGGCTGATAATTCAGTGCAACACTGTTTCCATGGATGTTACTGACAAAAACCCACCATGTTGGAGGACAAACAGCTAGCTTTAAATCTGTCAAAAAAGAAGACAGAAGGAAGTGAAGCTTCCAGGTGATGGAAAACTACTACCTTTCATAGCAGGTAACCAAAGGGAGCCATTATATGGAGCAAGACTCGGCTCATTTCCATTTTGGCCTCTATGCAAAGCAAGACTTGTGGGGGGGGAAGAGCAACAGCCTTCCACAGGCCTCCTTATAATTCATGCCACGTGCTCTCCATGCAGAATGCAGGATCCTGCTTTAAAGCCATTTACTGAAAGATTAACAACGTAAAGGCAATTAAATATCCCAGCAAGAGGCATAGTAGCTCTCTAGGATGCATTTGGGATAATAAATCTCAACTAAACAGGATCCCGCCTCACTAATCAGCAAAGGTGAAAAGGTACAACATACACAAACTGCAACTTTGTAGGGCAATATGTGGTATGCTGAAGATGAAACAGAATTTCGGAGAAATAAATTTGGGCTTGTTCCAAAACTTTTAAGAAAAAAAGAGAGTTGTTTTGATATACCTGCACAGCAGAACAACTTGTGATGAGGCTGGTTTGTGGGATTTGAACATTCTTCTTTAAGCCGACATCTTTGTGTTAAAGCGTCGAAATAGTCCGTTATCAAAAACATTGCCTTTATCCTTTAGTGCAATATATTTAATATAACAGGGGATCTGAGCACAGAGAGTATTTAAATCATTTACCTTCCAATTTAAGGTAAACACCCAGGGTGGGTGGTGAGGGTGTCGCAGGACCCACAGTATATATCATAGTAAACAGAGCGGACACACCGGTCACTTTTCTGTTAGATGACGGCAGCATCGGTGGCAGAACCATGAAAACATGGATGGTGTTATTTTAACCCATCACACCAGGTGTTTTTAAGCTGCCTAGACCAATGACCTCACTGCTACGAGGTCACATCATACAGCTAGTGAGTGTCCTCCAACATGGCAGACAGGAAGTTTACCAGACAAAAATACTTTAGACAAAAGATCAAAACTTTCTGCAAAGAAAAAGGTGAATAAATCCTAGAAAAAAAAACAAAAAAAAAACATTTTAGTTTCATGCAGAAGAGTTTAAGCACTCTCTCTGTTTAACACAGAACACTGATGTTTTTGTTGGAAAATTGTGGAGAGAGAGTAGGTGTCTGGTCTATGTTAAATAGATCTATGTTCCACACAGAAAATAAAACATTTTAACCACTGGCAGACTCTAGGGGGCAGTGTAGGGCACAGACCACAGAGTTAAAACAATAAAGCACCTATAGAAATAGCCATTTTCAACATGTCCAGTCACTCTTTGGGTCATCCAAGAGGGACAGTATTTTTTTTTTCCACCAGTTACTTACAATCTGTTGATTGACGTTATTTTTCTTATCATTAGCCTGGAAAGACCAGAAATTGAAATGCTAATAAAATGGGCCCAAGAAGAGCCAATGGAAAAGGTGCATAACACATATACAAAGAACCATTTAGAGCAAACTTCTAGATCTCTGAAAGGATTTACTCAGAGACAAACCAATTTTACGGTGAGTTCAAGCTAAGGGAGTTCGCCCTTTTCTTTGAACAAAAACTTAAATTATCATTAAATCAAAGTATCTTGAGCTAAACTACCATTTGGTAGTAAAAATAAAACCACTTCTATTCAGCCACAACTTTTAAGCATCATCCCTTAAGCCGGGCGTACACTGTGCGATTTTCCAGTCGTGCGAGAATCTTTTGATCAGGCCGACTTTCAGCCTGATTGTGCGCCGTGACTCGTGTCGTTTACAGGGGGTTACGAGGGACGATCAGCCTCTCACGACGTGGGCAAATCGCTCAGTGCGCAAACACTGATTTTTCTTTTCCTTCCTCCCTTCAGATGTAAACACAGAAGCATGGCGGGGGTGCAACGAGTGAAATGCAACTCTGTCTGTAAAATTGACAGACTGTAGTAGCCACGTTTGCTCAGCCATGTCTTTTTTCCAAAGACATCGCTGCCTTTTCTTTTTAGGGCTTTCAGCACAAAATTGCACAAATTGCCAAGACAGCGCGTTTTACTGTAGTGTAGGGGAGGAACGATTCACAAAATCCACGGTTCGGTTCGATTCACGGTTTAGTGGACACGGTTTTCGGTTCGGTTCGATTCGGTATATGTTGATTGTTACACCGAAATCCCATAAATATTTATGAAATTAATGAAAAAAAAAACCAAAAAATAATGGATTGTAATTATTTTAAATGATCCGCAGAAACCCTGGATCATTTCCGTATGTCTTGCTGCTTTCAATTTAATCATCTCGCGCATGCTCTCTAACCTGACAACAGCCAGATGCATGCATGCTCTCTACCATCTCCAAGGAACTCAGAGGGGAACAGACGAAGCCACAGTGGGGGCTGTAGGCTTTGCTTTGAGCAGCCGGTCTGGAGCGCAGCGGGGGTTGCTGACGGAGTATGAGGGATTTCGGGGTTGGAGTGACATGTTGGTCATGTTGCTGTTAGCATAAACAAAACGTGTTGCCCAATGCTTGCACACTGTTGCACTTTTATCCACAACTTTCTTTCCGCCGTCATCGTAGGTCACTCTAAATGCAAAGTGGTCCCATACAGCAGACCTATAAAGTGCTGCTGGCGCGTCTTCCAACTCCTGTTCTTTCCCACTCGCCAGTCCGACACAATTCTCCACAACAACTGATTTTTTTCTGCGACACCCGGCTACGCTACTTCGCTTCTTCTTCTTCTTGTTTACTACTGGTGGTTGGCTTTGGTCGCAGTACCGCCACCTTCTGCTCTCGAGTGTACACGCTTCGCCTATGAGAAAAAGGAGCAGCGCATGAACCGAACGAAACACACGCGAATCGAACCGAGACAGTCGAACCGAACGGTTCGGACGGTTTTCATAAATCGTACCATCCCTACTACAGTGAGCTTAATATTCCCCTTCTACTTGTTTGGCTTCCGTATAGACGAGTCAGAGTAGCGCCATCTCACTGCGGAGCCGAGTCCGATGTGGATTTTAGTCGTGCAGTGTGAGCAGGTAGAATGCATGAGAGCGTCGTGCTCCACATACATTGTGAACCGTGAAATCACACTGTACGACTAACTGCAGGGTTTAGTCGTACAGTGTGAGCAGTAACTGCGTGCAATGACTGAAAAAAAAAAGTATTGCACAGTGTACGCCCAGCTTTATCTATTGGCTTTGAAGAAATGAGCCTTTACTACTATAACGTAGTTCAGCCCTTAAAGCTTGGCAGTTCAATTAACCACCGTTTCTCAGCTTAACAGTACAAGGACCTTTTCAACTAGAGTTTAATATAGTTCTATATACAGCTGGAAATTAGACATTAATTAGACATTAAACTTTTAACTAAAACATTAGCCCCCGTCAACAAACAGAAAGGACATCAGCGCCATGAATATTCAATTAATTCAGAACGACTGGTCCGGATGTATGACAGCCACAGACAGTTAAAAGTCCCAATCCAACTCCAAGAACTGGATCATGGTCCAAATTCAGGAGTGATCAAATGGTCGGCATCAGAGTCATTGACTTAACTCCCGATCCCTGCTTTTTGTGCAGTCTGAGATTTTTATGAACTTTAGAGTCTGGATTTAACCAAAAAAAAAATAATCAGGATGTGTTCCCACAATATAATCTCTCCACTAAAGAAAATACATTAAAAAGAAAGAAACTCCTCCTTGGATCACTAGAAATCTCAGGGCACCAATCATGTGACCCACTCTGAACAGTGTTTAAACATGAGGATTTGATCATGAGGCAAACATGCTGACGTTAACCTTACATTACAGAAAACTCAATCATCATTGATCACATGACTATTAGGTCAAACAGACTGCAGCAGCCAGAGAGGCTGTATGTCATGCTGCATAGCAGATTGAGACTCTACACGGGACTTGATCTGGAAATCCCTACTGGGGTCATAGAAACTTTACAAGTGGTCAGTGTGACTGCAAACTCGATAGCGGTTTGGCCAATATCAAAACTATGCAATTAAGATATTACATGCATCAACATGTGAACGTAGCTGACCGAGTCCAGCAAACCCCTGACTCATCTATAGCACAACTGGTCACCATTGTCGCCTGCCCCCCTTTGATTACATGTTTGTTTTTGCTTTTTTGTGCGTTTTATAAACTTCCTTCTGCACTAAAAGCATCCTAAATTTCCCATTACAGAAAAATGTCAACAAAAGAAAACTATAAAGTACAACCTACTACAGGTAATGATGAAGACTCCACACATCCACCCCAAAGATACAAGTTCCACCTTTGAAAGTTATGCTTTTAGTTTGTTTTGTTTTTTTTGTTTGTTTTTTTTTACAAACACACAATACATTAAATAAAAAAGAAAAAGTGCAAAGGTATTTGAAATTTCAACTGGAGCACTGCTGACAGAAGAAATTATTTAACGGCATCCTCAAAAAGTGCCTGTCGCGCTCACAAGAAACAGGACTTGCAAAGATCCTCTACAACACAAATGAGGTATTAGGTGTGAGCAGAGAGCAACCGCACAGATTTATCTGATGATTTAGTGCAGGATGAAGGTTTTTTTTATTTAGCTAGACATGATTAATCCATGGTCACTTGGGGGACAAGGCACAACATGGCGACATGTTTTTTGATGGCAACTATTTACCAACAACAACACCTTCAAATGAACGAGTGAACTACTTGTGTTCGACCCTCATATCGGCCCAGCTGGCCTCCATCTTTACAGCCATCAACAAATATTTAAAAAGCCATATGTGAACCACTGATATTTCCCAAAGTGGGATACATTACCATGTCATTGCTCATCAGGCTTCCTGGTGATGATCCCAACCCAGACTGACCCTCAAAGCCCAGTCCACCCATGGAGAACTTCTGGCTGGATCCACCGAAGGACACGTCTAATGAAGGAAAACAAAGAGCTGATGATACACACCTAGTAACCATCAGGTAAAGCAGCTGGGGATCTTCCACTTTCTCCATGATATCATTAAATTCATAGGAGCAAAACATGTGGAAATTAACGCTTAATCTAATATGACATATTAAAAAAATCTCCATCAGCATCCAGAATATGTGCAGTTTCTGCCAAAATATTTTCTTTTTGTTGTGGACTTTTGTAACAGGGGATTACCAGGATCGTACCAAATTTGTTTTGTATGAACTATGTTTGTTCTCTACTTCCAGACTCTGCATTTCTTCATCAATGCCAAGATACAAAGTTTGTTTTGAAGTTCTCAGTTTTGACTTGCATCCAATCATTTGAATAAACTGGTCATGAAAACAATTAAGCATTTCTACACTTAAAATGGACCATCGATTGGCTAACATTCTCCCCCTTACTTCAAAGGAGGTCGACCACTCTTCTTAAAGGTATAGTGGAGGATTTTTAGAAACGTTTAACAAGAGCTGCTCTCTACACTTTAAAAAAAGCACATGCACAACCCTGTACCTGCTCCCAAGAGGGAACGCCGATCAAAGGCTTGCGAGAGCATGCACAATTTCTCCTTGTGCGCGCTCCATTTAAAAGTTGCTTTGCAAAAATGTTTTCCCTTTAAATAGTGACGGGTAAAACACTAACTAATTCTGTCATATTTATGCAAGTGGAGAAAGAAAAAGATAAATCTGCTTCTATAATCAACTCAAAGAACAAAATTCCATTCTTTATTTTTAAATGGAATGACTTCGAGGAATTCTGTTTTATATTGCTCTAATTTAATCATACTCCTTTAGAATAGGAATAGAATACAAAAACGTACCTGGCATGCCCATAGTGCCACTGCTGTGCATCCTGATGTCCATATCCCTCTGTGAAAACAGAAATGGATGATCAAAACAGATAATTAAGACTTGAACCAGCCTCTTATATTCCCAGGGCAAAGCAGCTCTTACATCCATGAAGTTTCCTGCACGATAGTTTTCTTCCCGCTGACGCCGCATCTGCTCCTCCATCTCCCTCTGTCGAAGCAGCTCTTCTTCACGTCTGCGTCGCTCTTCTTCCTGTCTGTTATTCAAAAATATATAAATACACCAAGTCATCTTGTGCTGCGTATGTATTGGGTGCCACATTAACATTAGGGGCCTAGACAGAAGAAAGGCTCAAGGATTTAGATTTAGTTGGAAATGTTTAAAAAAAAATATGTAGAGTTCTGTACTAGTAAAGAACAAAATAAATAAATACCTGAGCTGCATTTCCTTCCTCTTCTGCATTTCTTGGTTGTGCATTTCCTCCATGCGCCTCAGCTCCTCCTGTCGCCTCAACAGTTCTGCCAAATAACAAACGGTAATTCTGGAGATCACATCAGCAGACAATACCTCTGAAAAGGGAAAATGCCATCGAGACTCACCCTGACGGAGCATATTAGCCTGATGCTCGTGGTAGGCGTCTTCCATCTCACTCTCCAGCTTTTCGCGGGCCTCGCGCATGTTCTTCTCCACCTGCTCTCTCTGCTGTTTCTCCATTTCATCCAGAGACTTCCAACGCTTTGAATACTCAAACTCAAATGTTCCGGGGCGTGCAAAGCGGGGAGGCTGCTCACGCGCCCTGCAACACAAATATAGCGGATGAAATAGATGCAACTGATTACAGTCAGTGTGGGGCAGGGGAGCTATTGTGTGGAACATGAATATTGGAATTAATCTCTATAGCGACAATTCACACAACGCAAATCATACATTCAGATTATTTCCAAGATTTCAAACCTGCCACTAGAGTCAACCAGCAACTTAATTAAATACAAATCACAAAAAAGGCAAATACAAAATATCTTCAAACTAAACATAAAGTTAAAAAACAGATGCTTACGCTTGATATTTAGGGTTCTTATGGGCAAATTTCTCTGGAAACCCATCATCACAATCAAACTGTTCCTGGGGCTCAACAATGACCGGACGTGGCGACCTGGATAAAGAAAGGCATCAATTAGTGAAATCATTCCAATCATGTTCAGGACTGATGTATCACAACAAACCAAACTCACGAGGTGAGGAGAAAAACACCCTCGTTGCATCGGTCCAGAGCTTTCTTTGCGGCTACTTTGGAGGCAAACTCGACAACACCGCGTCCCACAGATCGGCCGCGGTCATCAACAACAACGACTGCCCTCTCCACCATGCCGAACTGGGAAAAGGCTTCCTCCAGGAGCTCATTGGAAACGAACGGAGACAGATTCTTCACAACCAGGGCCGCGGGGTGCGTGGCAGCACGAACGCGGAGAGGCCTGCCTTTCATCGGGGTGTTATCCATTTCAGCTTTAGCTATTTCTGCCAGGGCACGGGACTCCTAAAAGACAGGACAGAGTGAGACCAGTTCACCCCACACTTACCAGACAAAACCATCAACCATTGCCTACTTCTCAGTGTCGCAACTTACCAGGCGGATGAATCCAAAGCCCTTTGCCTTGTTGACGAAGACTTCAGATGGTTCTCCGTACTTTGCAAAAAGCTTCCTGAAATCCTCCTCGGTGATATCATTGGGCAGGTTGCCAACAAACAAACGACATCTCTGCGAGTATGACTTCTCCCCTGGCTTCAGCAACATGGACAGGGGGATCCTGACCTCCTGCAAACCATTGATAAGAAACCTCATAAACAAGCAGTACAACAGGGATGAAGACTCCACAGGAAATAATTGAATAAAAGGACTAGAACGAAGGCTGCTATAACTTCGATAAATGAACCTATATAACATTTCCTCGTGTCGCTTATAGCATTATTCTGCTTGGCAGCAGTCTGATGAAGGGGAAGCTCATGGTCATCTGTATCTGCTTTCTATGAAACCCAATCATCTCTGGGGGGGGCTTGTTGTTCAGGGTTTGTTACACTGAGTAAAAACCTCCAACTGCTCCACAAACCAGCCAGGTGTTGAAAATTTGCATCTAGACTGGTTTAGGAAGCATAAAACAAGGATGATGCACTGTAAAAACAAGGAACTGGGTCTGCAAATAACGAAAATTTAGCAAATGGATTATTCTGTCAATTAATCTTTCGATTAATTGGTCAAAAATCGGAAAGCCAAATATTCCTTAAATAATTAAACCAGGTGAAACTTTACACCTGGATAGAGCATTCTGACAGCCTACATTTTAATCTCGCCTTATACGTTGTTGTTATAATACTGACTATAACTATGAGTTTGATTCAGCTCCGATGACAGAGCGAATCAAATAAAAATTTATAAACCTACACATTTCGCCCATCTGCGATCTAAATGCATGTATTCCCCCATAGGTCATTAAGCTAACAGAAAAGATGTGAAGAAGGACGGTTCGTTAAGCTTTGGCCTTCATTAAACGCATATAGCCCGCACACGAGAACAATTTTGCGGGGCAGCAGAAAAGCTTCTGACTGCCTGACAAGATGGCCGCTGGTGCTAGACGTTAGCGATGGGGGAAGTGCGTTCGATTTCATACACAGCGTCTGCCGCCATTAGCTACTGCTAACAGCTTTGTTAACACAATCAGCAGTGGTCCAAGCTTACCGCTTGTTGGCCGGTCTCTGAATCCATGGCATCGCTTCCGCTGGCTTGGTCCATTGGCCGCTGATCTGCAACCGGTTCTGACTTCGGTTTAGATGAGCCCTGGCCCAGTGAAGGACCGGTATTCTGGCCTTGCTGGGATCCAAACCTTTGGCCCTGCTGTTGGCCTTGTCTCTGGTTCTGCTGGGGGCCGGGTCTCTGGTTCTGTTGCGGACCGGACCGTTGGTTCTGCTGAGGCCCAGGCCTCTGGTTCTGCTGTGGACCGGGTCTTTGGTTCTGTGGAGGCCCAGGCCTCTGGTTTTGTTGTGGACCGGGCCTCTGGTTCTGCTGGGGTGCGGGTCTCTGGTTCTGTTGCGGGGTTGGTTTCGGGCTCTGCTGTGGAGTGGGCTTCGGGCTCTGCTGAGGAACCGGCTTGGGGTTCTGTTGCGGGGTGGGTTTGGGGCTCTGCTGCGGAACCGGCTTGGGGGTCTGCTGCGGTGCGGGTTTCGGGGTCTGCTGGGGACTGGGCTTCGGGCTTTGCTGAGGAGGAGGCTGCTGCTGGGCGCTGGTATTACCCGTTGAAGCCTTGGTCTGCTGGTTCTGGTTAGTCTGGGTAGTGGACTGAGACGGGGTTGTGTCCGGTTTCGGGGCCGGGGTCTCAGCCTTCGGTTGGGTCGTAGGGGTGTTCGTTTTCGGCTGTTGCTGCTGGGCCGGTGCTTTCTGCTGCTCCTGTTGGGTCGGGCCTTTCATGGTGAGGGCCGGTCCGGGACTCGGTTGAGGAATACTCGGCACGGACTTGTTTTGCTCAGACTTCTGCGGAATATTCTTGTTTGGAGACGAATAATTATTGCCTCCCCTCCGGTTTTGGTTCGAGTTCTGGAAAGGGTGGTTTCGGAATTGCGGGTTTCCCAACAAGCCGCCTCGAATTGGGCCTCCGGGACCTCTGCCTCGGCGTGGCTGATAGTGATTAATCCCGAACCCTCCGCGGTTATTGTTGTATCGAGACATTTTTCCTTGAAAGGGCCAAAGAACTACAGACGAAACGTTTAAAAAATGGCGAGATTAGCTGCGTAGTCGCTCCTTCCACAGCTCCGCTAAGGTCTTCAAAATGGCGACTAGCGGACGAGCAGAAATTGTTCTTTCTTTCTCTGAGGAAAAAATATGGACCCGCCCCCATCGTAAAACAGCGCCTCTGATTGGTTCAACTGTCTGAAGGCGGAGTTATTGATGTAGTTTAAACAGCTATGCTTGCATTTGTTTGTTATTTCAAATATATTATGTGGAAGTGTAAATTATCAAAACATACACTTTTAAAATATACTGCTGCAGGTTTACTATATATTAATATACTATAACTTATAAGATGCATATTTATTCCCCATAAAAAAAAAACATCCAGCTGAATCAAATTTTTTTTTTTGATTTGATAAAGGTATACTTTTTGTTTTCCCTTAAAAAGATGACAAGTTATTATATTTACATAATTTAAAAAGAGAATAAAAATAGATTAAATATTGACGTATTCAAGTTATGGTTTATTGCCCACACATTTAAAGCATGTTTTATGGTACAAAATATAATTTCTTTATTCCAAAGTAATATTTTTTACCGCGTAGAATTTCTTTTCATTTTTAAAATCTATTTTGTAATGTTTTTTTGTTTACTACCCTTTTGTTTTTCAATACTTAAAATGACTTATATAATACTACCAGTAGATATGCTATATTGATACAAATGTCAATGTCATAAAACGCGCAGACATTGGGTCAAATTATAGGGCATCTTAAGTCTGGACTAATTTTTAGGCTTCCTTCATGACTTCCAGCAAAGGTTGTTGTTGCAGATTTTTGTTATCAGGCCAATAAATACAAAAATTTACATTGAAAAAACGTCAGACGTAAAATAACATTTGTCTTCTGGAAAAAAAATGTTTTCAGTCTTTTAAATTTCAGAGTATTTCATATCTATTTCATCACTTCCATTCAAAGGCAGACTTTGATACACCTAAATATGCTTTGAATTGATTAAACCTCAGCTAGAATAGAATAGAAATAAAAAAAATGCAATCTAGAAATGGCAAAAAAAAAAACTTTCAGTCAATAACGGCTTTTGTCATTATTAACATTTTTATTATGCTTAAAATGAGAGGAATGTTATCTGTTAAACATCCATTAAAACAGAAAATTAACACAAAACCATTTTGGACTATGACATTTATCATAGGTTCATGCGTTTTTTTTAAAGCTTCATGAATAAATGTGTTTTTTGTTTACAACAATAATGGAACAAAATTCACCCCGTAATGGATCAATATCTTTCCCTTAAGTGGTGGAAGAAGAAATGTGTAGAAAACAAACTTCATCATTTACCCTTTATTTTATACAGAGGTGTCCATTAACAAAGTACAAATACTTTGTTACCTAAATTAGAAATGTTGGTTATCTATACTTTACTGGAGTAATTATTTTTTAGACAACTTTTTATTCCTACTTCTTACTATTTTTTATTTTTTGGTGCAATTATTTCTACTTTCTATTCCTTACATTTTAAAAATTAGACTCGTTGGTTTTGTTTCATTTAAGCTCATTTTCATTATGACCTGTTGGTATTTTAAAAAATTAATAAAATCCATCCATTAATTTCTTTGTGGTTGGACTCAGTGCTGCCCCAACTTGTTGCTCACCACATACCAAAATAGTTTTTCAAGATGATGCAAAGTTAAAATTGGAAACAATTACCATTAGTTATAAAACAAAGAAAATTAAGAATAAGGAAGTTATCATCCAGAATTGTAGAAAAATGTCCCTTTAATAGGGTAGTGAAGTAAAGCTTCTGCCCTTAACATTTTTCCTTTATTCCATAAAAGTAAAAAAAAACAATCCACTAGACTTTGTTTCCCAGTTTGAAGACATTTTGCTTCCCATCCAGGAAGCTTTTTCAATTCAAAATGTCAGAAATTGCGTTGAGTTTGAGGCAGTAGCTCAACAAAGCCTTGTTTTTGTGTAGAAAACAGGCAAATTAAACCAGACTAACGGGTCCTTTGCCCCTTTGGAATGTGGGCCGTTTGGCTTCTTTTGTTCGCCTTCAATCCCCCCAGTGGATTTTATTTTTTAACTTTTTTGGAATGACTATGACCTGGATGACTGAGAATCTTGACCAGCATATTTTTTCCTTTACTTTTTACACTTTTACTTGAGTAAAAATCTTTAGTTGACCCTGTAACTTGTACAAAAGTGTTTTCAAACAGTATGCTTTATACTGGAGTAATAAACATTAAAACAATTTGACACCTCTGATTGTATAATAAACCAAATTAAAGAGAAAATGTCCATAAGTGTGTGATTAGTCTATAAATAAAAACACAAGATGAGCTTTGTTTTGTTTTTTTGGATCGTTTATTCCGCAGAAAGCCATTTCAGGAACAAAATGAGCGGAGAGACAATCTGTCTCACCTCAACGTGTCTTCCAAACACTCATTATAAACCAACAAAAAAAATAAAGATGAGATGACAGCAAAGGGGGGGGGGAAGAAAACACAACATTAACCAAACAACCAAAGGAAAAAAAAAACAGAAATTAAAAATATGCAATCAGAGAATCAAGACAGAAAAAACACAGAAACACCAAAGAAGAAGAGGGAATAACATTCATCGATTTGTGAACAATCAAAATCTTTTCCTTCCTTTCTAGAATATTTTTTAAACAGATCAAAACATGTAAACCCAAACAGAGAAACTGTCACCACTAAACTGTTTCTATTCAGGAAAAAAAGCCACTCGGTTCACAGATCACCAGGCTGCTTCAGATTAAAGCTTACATCTATCGCCATTCAGGCGCACTGGAAGCTTCTCGCCATTTAGAGGAACGTTAACTGGAGTTTAAAACTTCCGATCTTTAAATGTGTTGCACTGTTAGCAGGTTACAGCAGGAGGACGAGGAGAACTTTCTATATGTTCACCGGGATTAAAAGTTCTGGACCTCAGGAACTCCTTGGCATCATGGAGGGGTGTGAGGAGGAGGATGGAGGAGGCGGGGAAATGCTCAAACCTAACTGGAAGTGATGGATGGAGGGGGGATCTGTAGGGGGAGGGTTACAGTGAGCCGACTGTTCATGTGCAGTCTGTGCGGGTCAGATATTTCCCCCCCGTTTATGAGCCTGCAGTTTGTGGAAAATCAAAGTCAGAGAAAGAGTCAACACGAAGGAAGCGCAGGCTGGAGGGAAGCAGCGATCCGTTGGGTTTATTTCACATAGATTATGTTTACAGATTCTATCACATTTCATAAAAAGAAAATCAGTTCTGAGAATTGTTTGTGTGTGTTTGCTTTTCCGTTAAAAGACCCGGACATGCTGCAGAACATGGAATGATTGCGATGGTGGAAAACCAGCTCTCGGTAACCGAGTCAGAAGGCGTGGAGGTCAAAGACCGCAGGAGCAGCAATGACCAGACCAGGCAGGCCAAAAAGAACACCTCTGATGTCCTCCATCATGATCTGTTGGTTCAGCTGGGTCTTTTTTTCCTGCCTGACTGAATAAGGACTCCCAGCTATGAGTTCATAGCAGCATTACTTCCTAGCCAACAGAACAGGGCTATGAGTCTGGTTCTGCTGAAGGTTTCTTCCTGTTAAAAGGGAGTTTTTCCTCTCCACTGTCGCTACAAGCATGCATAGTGTGAGGAATGGCCTTTTAGTCAATGCAATCAACTGGTTTTCCTTAGATAGAAAACTTTAAATCAATTTAACTGTATGATCTGGTGAACTGGAAAGTGCCTTGAGATGACATGTGCTGTGAATTGGCGCTATATGAGTAAACTGAACTGAAACTGAATTGATAACACCATGTGTTGCATCAATCTGTTTTTAGACCTCCACAAACCAACCCTTTTCAACCTATCTAAGGAAACAACGACATGCTTTTAAATTAATTCTGTCCTAACAGACAGAAAAGGGCCTAAAATCACTTAATCTAGAAACACCTAATTTCCAAGATCAGTTTGAGCTCGTTATAACCCCTGATCAAACCTCCTCCTGACAGATATCCTCTAATTATTGGAATATAATTAATTACATTAAACCGCCATATTTAAAAACAGCATCAACGCCTGTTTTTAGTGTTTTCAATTCAATTTCCTGTGTAAATTATTATTAGAGTGGATCCTGGCCCCCAGAGACCTGTTGCTTAGAGGCTTCAAGTAGCACCTGCCCAACATACCAGTAACAGAAGTTTTAACTTTATATCTTGGTTTTGTTTTTTCCCAAACTGCAAACGGAAGAACTTTAAAACCTGCATGCATGTCTGCGTTTGAAAGCAGCCCGCTCTGCAAAAACTGAACAGAGGTAGACGGCTTACAGAGATGCAGAGGTTTAAGCTAATCAACTGTCCTGGAATAAAAACGTTTGGCATATTTTGGAATAAAGATTAAATTTAGCAAACTTAGATTTTCATAACACAATGCTTTTAATCCAATTTGATCTGATTTTACTTCCTTTAACTTAAAATCGGTTTTGTTTTCCAAATGCTGTTTAATCTAAAGTTGTCAGAGCTGCAAACAATCGAGGAAATGCAAATTCTGCTGTTGATTCGACGCCCAATTAACAACCGTCTGATTCTGCATCCTTCCTCTTCCAATGTGTGTTTAATGGTCTAAGTGAGTTTATAAATGTCATGATTCTGCAGAGACGGGAGAGGATGCGTCCCGCAGCGGTTTGGCTGATCTGACTCGGACTCTACGTTGGTTTTCCAGAAACACAAAAAGGAAGCGTGGCGGTGAGGCGATGACGGATAGAAGCTGATAAAAGAAAAGAAGATGAGGTTAAAAAAAGAAGGAGGAGAACAGAGGCAACAGGTAGAGGATTTTAATAAAAAAAAAAGGGGGCATGCGCAGTAAGAGTCAGAGTTTCTCCCTCCGAAGGCCAAGACTGAAGAATGTTTGCAGGTTGGAGTGTAAGAGGAGCTCTGATCAGCTGTGCAGGTTAAATTAACTATTAAATGTGTGTTTGTGAGTGCTCATGGCTGTTTCCTGCAGGAGGAGAGCAGATCAGGGGTCAGAGGTCAGTGTCTCGGAGGGCGTTGGGGATGGGGGGGTCACAGTCGGACTGAGGTGAGGTCAAATCCGGGGCAAATACTTCTCAATAAATTCCTTTACATCTGCCATCTCCTGCAAGAGATCGGATCAGAGGAAAGAGCAGATTAATCATCTCTGACTTCTGCAGAGATGGAAAAGTTTCAAACATTCCTTTCTATCCTTTCATCATCAGCAGGAGCAGCAGATTATTTTTTCTTTTCCAGAATGGAAATTAAAAAAGTTTAAAAAACAATCCACTGGATTTTGTTTCCAAGTTTGAAGACGTATCTCTTCCCATCCAGGAAACTTTTTCAATTCAAAATGTCAGAAATAGTGTTGATTTCCAGGCTTTATACAGCAGCCCAACAAAGCACCTGAGTGAAGTTGCCCCCCCCCTTCTTCAAATCAGACAAAATTAGTGTCAAACTTTTGTGCTGCAAAAGTTTTCGTTTGTGCTGCTTTGGCTTTGAATATATTAATAAAAATGTAAAGGTCAAAAGGTCAACCCAACACACACCTTATTCAAATCAGACAAAATTGGTGTCAAATGTTTGTGCTACGTTTGTGCAGCAAATATTTTTGTTTGGAAATATTTCTAGAGGTCATCAAAGGTCAACCCCCACCTTCTTCAAATCAGACGAAATAGGTGTCAATCAACTCAGCTCCGTTTGTGCAGCAAAAAATTTTCGTTTGTGATGCTTTGGATTTGAAGATTTGAAGAAAGTGGGGGGGCTGCTTGACCTTTGATGACCTCTAGAAATATTTCTTTATATCTTTAAAGCTACAGTGTGTAATTTGCAGACCGCAGCAACATGAACACCTCCCCCCCCAACAGTACGGCGAGCGTTACGGGACAAAATGTCTTCCACGACGTCCACATCACCTACCTTCTCAAGTGATGAGGTTTGTTTACATAGATAATTTTAATACTGCCATCTATTGTTCAGTACCGTCTCAGTTCATCTCTCTCAACTTGCCGTAGTTACTTTCGAGCGTAATGGGCGATCTCGCAATCGCTAGTTTGTTGGCTCTGCGCTGCCGTAGCGCAAAGATGTCTGCCTCCATGGCTGTGAGACCCGCTCCTATGTAATTATAAATAACGAATTCTAAGGCAACGCAAATATTAAGGTTAAGAGGCTGAGCTCGTAGATGATGATAAATAACATAGTTATGTATAATATATTACATTTCTGACTGTATATCCCTGTAATTATTACACACTGTAGCTTTAAAACAATAGCGGCACAAACGAAAATTTTTGCTGCACAATTGTTTGACACCAATTTTGTCTAATTTGAAGAAGGTGGGGGGGCTGGTTGACCTTTTCACCTTTACATTTTCATTAATATTTTCAAAGCCAAAGCAGCACAAACGAAAATTTTTGCTGCACAAACGGAGCTGAGTTAATTGACACCCATTTCGTCTGATTTGAAGAAGGTGGGGGGGCTGGTTGACCTTTGATGACCTCTAGAAATATTTCTTTATATCTTTAAAACGATAGCGGCACAAACGAAAATTATTGCTGCACAAACGTTTGACACTAATTTTGTCTGATTTGAAGAAGGTGGGGGGGGCCAACTTCACTCAGGTCAACAAAGCCTTGTTGTTGTTTAGAAAACATGCAAATTAAAAAGGACGAACAGGTCCACCCCTTTGGAATGGAGGTCATTAAAGGGAATCTTTGATTCCTTTTCTCCTTTACAGGGAAAAAAAGACCTTGCCTATTCAGGGCTATTGTATAAAACCTGGAACTCAACGCTATTTCTGACATTTTGAATTGAAAAATCTTCCTGGATGGGAAGAGAAACATCTTCAAACTTGGAAACAAAGTCCAGTGGATTGTTATTTTAACTTTTTGTCATGACTATGACCCGGATGACTGGGAATCTTCACCAGCATCCAGAATGGAACAATAAAAACACGTAATCTACAAAGATCTACAAAGACTTTTAAAACAATCAAATGTTGAACAAATGTTAATTTTAATCAATTATCCACATATAGGAAAAAATAATAATCACAGGAACTATGCAATAAAAAATTACAAATCCCTACAGGAAGAAAGTTTGATAGTCAGCGACTCAAAGGTTGAGCTATTTTGCCAAATTTAAAGTATGTTTTGAACATTTCCTGTGAGCTCTCTTTAACCTTAGGGCAATCGTAGAGTACAGTAGTGGAACCAGCATGCTGTGGATGTATTCATCCAAAAGGGAAATTAAAACATTATTAGATATATAGTTAGTTTCTTAGAGGGGTTGTAGGCAGGAAGGATTTCCTCTAGAGGTCCGTGTTACAGCAGATCTGAACAAGCAAGGAGTGAAAATTGTTCCATTATTGTGGCAGAGCAAAGAACACATTTTGAAAATAAAAATACAAAAATTTAAATCCAGCAATAAAACTTTTAAATAATTTTGAATCAAAAGAGCTCTTGGAAAGTAACTGGAAAGTTTTTCTCAGATTTAATTTCTTTTAAACAAATTTTCCCTCACATATTTATGAAGGTAGATTTGTTTCTTTATTATTGAATCAAAAAAAGATTGCTTCAATCAAAAAATATATTTATAATATAAATATTATAAATATATAATAAATGTCCTATATAAATATAGGACATTTGTGTCTTTATTATTCAATTCCCAAAAAGTTGTTTCAATAAAAAAAAAAAAAAAATCATAGAAAAAACTGCAAATGCAAAAGAAAAAATTACCCCAAAAATATAAAAAATATATATTTTCAATTAAAAAAAATCTTCACTTCAAAGAAAAAAAAACTTTTCAAAGAAAAAAAGTATTTGAATGCAAAAATATATTTGATACTCAAAAAAATACATTTGAACTCTGCTTTTCTTTGATTGAAAATGTTTTATTTGATAGAAGTCCAGTCTTTTTAGTTTAAAGCAACTTTTTTAATTGAAGTAAAGTTGTTTTTTGATTGAACCGTATGATGGGTAGGACATTTGTGTCTTTATTATTCAATCAAAAAAGAAGTTGCTTTAAACAAACAACAGAATCAATAAAAAAAAGTTACTTCAATTAAAAGATGTTTCCAATCATAGAAAATAGTTTTTGAAAGCAAATAAAATATTTGAGACTCAAAAAATTGCATTTGAACACTTTTTTTTTTATTATTGAAAATGTTCTCTTTGGTTGAAAGGATCTATTTTGTGTTTGGGCCACACATGGGTAGGACATTTGTGTCTTAATCATTCAATTCCCAAAACGTTGTTTCAATAAAAAAAAACAAAAAACAAAATCAATCAAAGAAAAAACTGTGCAAATGCAAAAAAAAAAAAAAAAAAAAATACCCCACAAATAAATTTTTCTTTTTTTTTTTTTGTAGTGAAAAAAAAAATTGAAATTCAATTTGTTTTATTTGAATACATTTTTATTTTCATTTCTGATTGCATTTTTTTTCTTCCAATATACAACATTTTTAGTTTTCAACTTTAGATTTCTGAATTGTGCTCTTTGATTTCAACGATAATGGAACAAAATTCCCTCTGTGAAGACTTTTTTAGCTGAACAAACGCTTCTGTTTGGTAACAGTCTGATGAAGGGGAAGCTCAGGGTAACGATCTGCATTCTATGTCACCCAATCATCTCCAGAGGTTCAGACCGAACGCTGCAGAAGCAGCTAGTTTACATCTTGAACAGCAGGAGCGGCGCCTCATCAGCTTCTGAGCATCTGACGCTCGAGATGCGCTTCAGAAGAACAGCTGCTCGAGTTGGAAAAATGTTATTTTTGCTGCTCGATGCGCCACATCAACCAATCAGCGAAGCTGATCTGGGAGCTGACAGAGCTGCAGAAATATGATCTGGTGCCTGCAGTGTGGATTACGTACATAAAGAAAGCCTTCCAGCCGCTGCGAACAGTAGTGGAAATTCCCCAAGAGTTGACTGGGCCAGAGGCTGCCGATGACCAGGATTTGACAGCGCAGCGCCGGTATGTGGGGGTCTGAGCGGCCCCGACAGAGAAATAATATTTGAAGGCAGGATGGTTATCAGGATGGTCTGACTGCACTGATTAAGTTTTCAGGCGGACTTTCTCAATTAAAAACATATTAAGACTACTTTTTACTAGTTTATGCTGTTAGCATAAACAGCATGTGTTGCACAATGCTTGCACACTGTTGCACTTTTATCCACAACTTTCTTCCCGCCGTCATCGTAGGTCACTCTAAATGCAAAGTGGTCCCATACAGCAGACCTATAAAGTGCTGCTGGCGCGTCTTCCAACTCCTGTTCTTTCCCACTCGCCATACCCACACAATTCTCCACAACAACTGATTTTTTTCTGCTACACCCGGCTACGCTGCTTCGCTTCTTCTTCTTCTTGTTTACTACTGGTGGTTGGCTTTGGTCGCAGTACCGCCACCTTCTGCTCTGGAGTGTAAACGCTTCGCCTATGAGAGAAAGGAGCAGCGCATGAACCGAACGAAACACACGCGAACCGAACCGAGACAGTCGAACCGAACAGTTCGGACGGTTTTCATAAACCGTTCCGTCCCTAATAAATATGAAGCTCATAAGAGTGAAACGCGCCGCCTTGGCAATTTGTTCATTTTGTTTTGCTGAAACTCCTAAAAAGAAAAGACGACAACGTATTTGGACAAAGATGTGGCTGAGAGAAAGAAGAATCCTTGTTTTCCCACTGAGCAATTTACCATGACCGCCTTAAGACGGCCGACGGAATTTCAAACATGTTTGATTTTCTACCGACCTTACGATTCCTGATCGGGAGGTGGTCATGAGAGGCTGATCGCCCCTCGTTACTCCCTGTATATTTCACGATGCACGATCGAGCTGAAAGTCAGCCCGATTGCAGAACTGCCCGAAAAGTGCTGAAAAATTGCACAGTGTATGCCCGGCTTAAAGCTAGGATATCTGGCCAAGATAATCTAACCTAATCTAATCTAATCATTCTTATTTGCAACTTATTAAATAATCCTTAGAGTCATCCTGATAATCAGCACTTCTCAAAAGCAGAAGATGTGGGGAAAGCGTCAACAGGATTAATGAGAAAGGTATCAGCTGATCACCCAAAATCAAGAAAATTTGGGCCAACTGATCGACCAGGAGATCAATCAGAGCAACCCTGAGGTAAAATGACAGAGCGGTCTGCAGACGTACCTGGGGACATGAGCTGTGATTGACCCCTGGGTAGCTTTTAAAGGTGACCATCTGAGGGTCAACTATGTATTTGAGTTTCTCTGCCGTCATGGCACCGAACTGCACCGGAATCATCATGTCCATTTCTCCGTGGCACTGCAAGATGGGGAGGTTCTTGTGACCGCTCGACGCCTGCAGGAACAAAAACACACAAGGAACACATGCATGATACAGCAGAGGGAACTGCGAGGAGAGGAACTGGTTCCTGGGTTCTCCCCAGACAGAAGCCGGCAGTACCGAAGGGAAACTCCTGTGAAGAGGAAGCCAGCAGCTGAGGGCCAGCACGCCGGCCAGCTGATAGTGGGAGGTCAGGGCGGTGTACAAGGACAAAGCTCCACCCTGAGAATGACAGGTAGAAAATGGTTTCTATACGATCGGTTCTGGTTTAAAAACAAACAGCGGAACTGTAAATGGGACCTCACCTGAGAAAAACCACCAATGATTATACGGTGAGGAGGGATCCCGTTTCTGGCCTCGTGATCGATTATGGCCCGGACTGCACACAGAAACAAAACAAAGAAAGCTTTACTCAAGAGATGGAGATGACTGGCGTCATTACAGGGATTTATAGTTACAAAAACCTCGATAAAAGAATCTGATGGCTGTAAATTATGTTTTCTAACGCTATTATATTCCAACTTAAATATATTATTTAATATTAATATACTCCAACCTAAACCAACTTTTCAACAAACTGTCATAACAGAACAAAACAAATCTCCCAAATGTTTGTGTAGTGGGTAAGGGTGTAAATAATAACAGTTTTGTATCGATGCATCGATCCAACAGCCGACGATCCGATGCATCGATACGTCCGCAAGAGAATCGATTCATGTTTTATTTTTTCCTCCGGCCTATTTTTATCCATTTGCTCCTGGGCGTAATTCTCCCTCCCGTGCTGCGGTGGTGCTAAACCTATTTTGCCCTCCTACCTCGCTTTTTGGTTATCCTCTTACAGCAGTGTGTCACAGTGAGCTTGACACAGACATTTTTGATTTATGGTCAATATTGATGCGGGGTCTGTGGTACACTAACCTGACTCCGCCAGATGGATTTGCTCCGCATATCCATCTGAACCTTCCGTTGAAGTAATTTTGGGAAGGGGTGAAAATACTGGTTAGCTGATTGGCCTATGTTGGTGATAGACGGGCCAAATAAACCAATAAGATCAACAAAGCATATGACGTACTAACAGAGTCTCCAGACTGATATGCGAGTAAAACCTTGAAAGCTCGCAAGATCAGGATGGTCTCACGAGGCTAGTGCTACACGCTGTGGGTCTAGATACGGCCGAGGCGGCAAGGAAGTGGGGGCGAGTTTAGTCCGACGACGGAGGGACATGAGGGCCAAAAAGAGCGGGGATCCAGGTGGAAAAGGGTCCCCGCGTTCTCGCCCACCTCGCTCTTCTAGCGGGTCAAACTTCACAAGTTGTTTTCCGCAATTTCGGTCATTAAAAACAACAGCAGCCAGCCTCCTGTCTGCGGCACTGTAAGCGGTCAGCTACAATTTGGGAGAGGAGCAGCGGAGCGTCTGCGGAGGGGGCGGGACGTCTGGAGCCGAGGTATTGCATTGCACTCATTGCACTGATTATGTGCAGGATTTTTTGATGCAAAGCCTTTAAGAATCTATAACGCAGGGGTATTATTATTTTTCAGTGAATGAGGTTTAATAGGAATAGATGGAGTAAAACTTTTCTACTTCTGTTATTTGCGGTTATTTCTCAAATAAAATGCATAACGATATTACAGCTTTCATTGATTTATTTCAAATTTGAAACATTGTCTAGCATGTAAGGTAAAAAAAAAAAAATGAACCAATGCAATACCAGAGCCGGGTTTATAGGACCATCTGATCCTTTTTAGCATGCCCTAAACACCTAAATGAATGATTACATCTTTTTTTTTTCCAGCTTTTAATTAGATCTTTAATTAGATCTGTAATTAGATGTGTATATATTTTATCTCTTTTTATTCTTATTTTTTATCTTTATTATATTGTATAGTTGGATGTGTGTATATATCATGTAAAACTGTAACTGGAGCGTGTAACAAAAGTAATTTCCCTCTGGGATTATTAGAGTATTTCTGATTCTGATCTGAGATCTCTATTTTTCTGTCAGTTTTTTTTATTCTGCTCATTTTTGGATGTAATAAACTCATTTAATGGCTCATCAGTTCATCACAGAGAGGTTGCCGTGCTAAACTGGTTCCAGGGCATCAGTTTGACATGTGCGACTCCGTCAAAGATTACGTTCACACTGCGGGCCTTGATGCTCAATTCATTTTTTTGTGAAATACGTTTTTTTTTTATGTTGCCGTTCATATTTCCAACTATATGCGACTTGTATGTGATCTCCTGTGTGAACTGCAGTCATAAAACGCTAGTGTCCGGCATGCGAAGTAGTGGACGCGATGGCGTCACGGGCCAGCGTGCTATTTTTTTCCGGAAGTAAACATGGATGGTAGTGCCAGAGCGCATCTAGCGATCTTTTCCAACCATAAAAACACAATCTTTTCAATACGTTTAAACATAAATACTGCTCTCCGCATCATCGTCTACCATGGTTGTTGTTTTTCTTGCCGCTTCTGCGTAGCAAGACGCAGAATAGTGACCTTTGTCGGGTATTAATGACGTTCAGGTCGGATTCACACACCGGTCCCATTTGAAAAGATCCGATTCGTATCGGATTCAGGACCACATATCCAAGTGGTTTGGGTCGGATTGGATAAAATCGGATCTGTGTTGTTCAGACGGCCATGAAAAGATCAGATCCAGGTCGCATATGGGCAAAAAAATCGGATTTGATCACTTCAGGCTGCAGTGTAAACGTAGCCAAACTGGTTTCACCCAGGTGCCAACCTTCAGCAGAACCAGTTTAGTCAGGAGCTGGAGGCGGGCTCAGATGATCAACAGCCAATCAGAATGCCACACCTCTTTTACTTTGTTTTCTATTGTAGCATAAAGTTTCTGTTTGGATAAAATCAAGGAGTTTCAGCGCTGATAAGGAAGAACATGAGCTCCCAGTTTCGGATCTAAACAATCAAAACAAGTCAAATAGAGAGGAAATGACTGCAGAACTCCATAGAGGTGACTTCTTTTAAAACATTTATCCTCTAATATCATGAAAAGAGTTTCAACAAATTCTGCACAACAACTTGTAACCATGGAAACAACAATAATTCAGCTATAATTATTCCAGCAGTGTTTTGGTGCTGAAAGCTCCACTGATTTAACTCCAGCAGCCGGCCAATCAGAATCTTTGTTTGTTTTTAATGCAACTAAAGTAACTAAACACAAACCGGGCTTTAAGCTAGCAATGCGTATGGGCGCACGTTGTACGCTTTTTAAAAATGACCTAGAAACCTAGAAACCTTGCTGAAATGTTCAAAATTTCCCAAGCAGCAGATGCTGGAGTTGGAAAAATTAAACTTTTGCTGCTTTTGACCATCTGAATTAGAGAAGACCGTCTCAGTGGAGGAAAGCGCAAGCTATTTAGGTCAACTCCATTGTTGAATCTGGGTGCTTTTTCTCCAGAGAGAAATGTGGGCTATAATTAGAAACTTAAGTAAGAGTTCAGACTGTGAGAAGCAGCAGTTTCCAGAAACAAACCTAAAACCTGCTATGATCCTAAGGAGCTCAACACTCACTGCTTTCTGCAGCCCTCTTGATTCCAGATTCGTCCTCCGGAGCGTCGGGGCTCAGACCCATGAGGTCAAACCTGCACACGTACAAAGGCAAGAGTCAAAACCACAACAACAGCTCACTGACACAATCGTACTATTGTAAAGGGCAACACGGGGGCCTTTTGTGTTTCTCAGGGAATCAAAGGCAGCCGGTGATGAGCCGAGAGGCAGCATCCACATCAGGGAAACTCACCACGCCGGCATCATGGACTTCATGTTGAGAGTGACGGGGATTCTGGGCCTGCAGGAGGAGAATTAAAGGCGTCAAAAGCAGGTCTGGACCTTAGCTTTAGGGGAGGTAGGGTCTATGGCAGCAGACTTACGCATGAGGGCAGATAAACTTGACGTGAGGCAGCCGGATCCCCGTCAGCGTCTCGGCCCAGCCGTGCCTGAAGGAAAACAGGGAGAAGCTGTTAGTTTCTCAGCCAGAAATAAACATAAATCAACCTAATAAAAAACTGAACTTAGAGCATAAGAAATACCTTTTAATTTTACATTTAGACCAACGTTCGGCTGATTCTAGTGATTACTAAATGTTTCAGGCAGTTTCAGTCAAAATAATCCTAAAAGCGTCTAATTTAACTTAGTTTCTGTTAAAGCAGCATTAAGCAAATGGATTGGAGGTAAACATTAAATACTTTCTAATATCCAATTCAGTTTGCTTTTCTATAAAGACATAAATTTATGCTTATTTTATTAAAAAATAAACCAAGAAGCAACAAGAAGTGAAACCCTGTTTTCTTCTACTCTTAAAGTGTTGTACATGCACCTGCAATTTAAAAAGAAAACACATTAAAACGCTGGGAAAATCAGAAAAAAGTAACAGGAAGTGAAAGACGGTTCTAATATGGTGAGGATGTCTATAAACGCTTAAATCCACTGTGTTTATCTCATGTTTTAAAGCATTCAGGGACATTTCTCTTCTAATAATCCTCCTCTCTGAGGTCATTGCTTATGTCTCCCCATCCAGGAATCCTGCTTTCATAAAGGGAATCACATCACCAATGATCAATGCCTCATTTATACAGAGGTAGCACTGGAAAAACGAGCTAGAAATTAGTAAAGATTGCTTAAATTAAGTGTATTTACCCTTAATTTGAGCAGGTCCCAGCAAATGAATGAGTATTTTTGCTCTCAAAATAAGATTATTAGATAATATGCACTTTAAAATAAGAGAATGTAATTGTTTTTTCTTATTTTAAGTGTAAATTGTCTTGTTCCATTGGTTAAATGTCGGTTTCACCTCCTCAATCCTAGAAAAAAGGAACTTATTTTAAGAATAAATGACTTTTCTAGATTTTGATTTTTTCCTGTGAGCAGAGATCTAACAGGTTCTGAACTCATAGCTTACACTGCAAAAATGATCTACAAATGAGTAAAAAAGTCTAAAAGTAAGTGTATTTACCCTTAATTTGAGTAGGTAAATAAGATGATTTGCCAATGGAATGAGTATTTTAACTCTTAGAATAAGATAACTACATATTATGCACTTGAAATAAGACAATGCAATAGTTTTTTTCTTATTTTAAATGTAAATTGTCTTACTCCATTGGCAAAGTGCCTTAATTTAAGAAAAAAATGACTTACTGAGATTTACATTTTTTGCAGTGTTCCTATGTTAACATCCTATATGATACATAGGAAAAAGAGTGGTTATCAGTTTTGTTTTACTTGAAGTTATGCTTCTACATGTTTTTCTTTTTTTGTTAATAAAAATAACTAATAATAAAAGCTTTTGTTACAAAATGATGGGAAGAAAAATTTCTATCTTGTTTTTACAACTAAATAATTAGGTACGAATGAAGTGGCTTCACAGAACGGGGATGTTCTTATCTGATCTGAACATCAAATTATGGTCCGATATTACCCAACAAACCAATATTAGATCTAAAATCTCTGATATTTTCATGCTGATAGACACTTCCGTCTAAAGTTCCTTTAAATCATTGGTTAACATTACATGGGCCAGTTGTTCTCCTAACTATTGTAACCAACTACCAGTTTTAGTCCGTGAGGCAGACACCCTGTCTACTTTTAAGGCTAGGCTTAAAACTTTCCTTTTTGATAAAGCTTCTAGTTAGAGTGGCTCAGGTTATCCTGAGCCATCTCTATAGTTCTGCTGCTATAGGCTTAGACTGCTGGAGGACATAGGGACCCCTTTTTCATCATTCTATCTCTATTCTCCCACTCTGCAGAATCTGTTAGTTCAATCTCTAACGTTCTGCTCTCTCTGCTTTTTCTCATAGTAGCTTCATCTGGTCTGTTCCTGTTTGGCTGTGACTCCATCCTGGAGAGAAATATCAGCTGTGCTGCTGCCATCAACACCTTTGTTTCTAGATGTTGGAGCTTGTCCTGTTTTTCAGTTTAGTCCTGTTTCTCTGACTGTGACTAACTGGATGTGCTCTCTTCATCCACTGACATGGGAGCTGGCTCGGAGCTCGTCTGCCTGGCTCTGGGCCGGATTTTAGCAGGGGCTTACCGGGGCTGCAGCCCGGGGCCCCGGCATTTCGGGGGCCCCGAAGGATGTTTTATATTTTTGTGAATGGATAGTGTCAGAATTTAATCAATGACTACGATGATTTTGACAGCACATATTAAAAATGTTCCAATTTGTTCTGACAAACGTCCATCATGAATGCTTGCTTGTTATTGGTCCACTTTTGACGCATCTTACGCATTGGGGAGGAAGAGCGCCAAGGCCAAGGGAATATTATTTTACAATGGCGGACAACAGAAAATATGACAGCGGAGCGCAGAAAAGGAAGAAGAGAAAGGAAAAAGAGCATCGCGCCAAAGAGGCGACAAACAAAATGCCTAAACTGACAGGCTTTTTTAAACCTGTTAGCGGAGATGGAGCAGAAACATTATTATCCCCCGCTCCTCAAACCCTTAGCTATAACACCGGCACTAAGATCCCGCCAGAACCTTTAACCGTGACTGAGTCGGTGGCTGGACTGGCGTCTGTGGAGTCAGAGTTGGTGGAAGCGGGATCTTCTTCCGCAGATGGAAAGACGACTGTGGATCCGTACAGTACCGATCCGGCGCATTGGGGGGAAATTGACGAGTCCGTGCGAGCTTACTGGGCTGAGCGAGGACCGGAGAGCTGTCAAAATATGAATGTTGGCTTTCAAGCATCAGAACGGGTGTACAAGCATCAAAAGCGTCACTTCTCCAAATCTCACTTTAAACGCAAGATGTTAAATGGTGAGTACATCGAAAGACCGTGGCTGCTTTACTCTCCATCCACCGGAGCTGTGTTTTGTTTTGCATGCCGCATTTTCACCAATGCTAATACTCAGTCAAACTTTGAAACTGGATTTAGTGACTGGAAGCACGCGACTGAACGCATGAGAGAGCACGAAAACAGCGAACATCATAGAAAAGCTATGCTGACATATGTTTCACTTGCAGCAGCCAGTGGGAGGATAGACACAGAACTGCAGAAACAATTTGAATCTGAGTGTTCATATTGGACTGAAGTGTTGAGAAGAGTTGTGTCTGTTGTCAAGTTTTTAGCAGAGAGGGGACTGGCTCTGAGAGGAGCCAGTGACAAATTTGGAAGAACTGATAATGGGAATTATCTGGGAATACTGGAGTTAATCAGCGAGTTTGATCCTTTTCTGAAGTCTCACATAGAGAAATATGGAAATGCAGGTTCAGGGAAACCCTCATATCTTTCTTCCCAAACATGTGAGGAATTTATTCAGCTGATGGGTGATCGTGTTCTATCAGAAATAGTGAGTGAAGTAAAAATGGCAAAATACTTCTCAGTCTCTGTTGACTCCACGCCAGATGTGGCACATGTTGATCAGTTAACATTTGTGTTAAGATATGTGTCACCTGAAGGACACTCGCAGGAACGCTTTCTGAAGTTTCTACCAATTGAAAGTCATACTGGGGAAGCTTTATGTGCGTCTGTACTTAAGGTTTTGGAAGAGATGGGGATTGACATCGCAAACTGCAGGGGGCAATGCTATGATAATGCTGCCAACATGTCAGGAGTATATAAAGGACTACAAGCACGTATAAAAGAACTCAACCCACTAGTTGAATGGGTTCCATGTGCTGCACATACCCTGAATTTGGTTGGAGTTAATAGTGTTAACTGCTGTTTTGAGACAGCTGATTTTTTCCAGTTTGTGCAAAACTTATTTAACTTTTGCTCCAAGTCGACAGCAAGGTGGAAGGTGGTAACAGATGGACTGCAGCCTAATGCAAACAAGCGTATTGAAACATTGAAGTCCCTTTCGAACACTAGATGGGCTGCACATGCAGATGCCACACAGGCAGTGCATATTAACTATGCAAACATTCAAAAATCATTGAAGAATATTGTAAATGACACAAACCAAAACGCAGCAATAAGAAATGAAGCAAGATCACTTGATAAAAAAATGGACAAGCTTGAAACAGTTTTTATGTGTACATTTTGGCATAGCATTTTACAGCGCTTTGAAAAAGCAAGTGCAGCTTTGCAGTCTGTGGAACTGGACTTGTGTACAGCTGTGGATTTGGTGGGATCCTTGCGGGAGTACATTGGAGGTCTGAGAGATCAATTTGATAGGTTTGAGTCTCAAGCAAAGAAGTTGTCTCCAACAGTTTCACAAGCTTACAGAGTTACTGGTCGAAGATCAAAGACTCCAAAACCATTTTTTGGAGAGAGCGCCACCTCAGAGGTTGACTTATCAGCTCAACAAAAGTTCTCCACCAGTGTTTTTTTGGTGGTTGTTGACAGATTGCTTTCTGAAATCAATCGCAGGTATATTGCATATGATAACCTCAACAACACTTTTGGCTTCCTGAACAATATTTCTGGTGTTACTGTTCCAGAGCTAAGAAACAAAGCATCTCATCTCCAAAGTAAATATTCAGCTGACTTGGAGATGGACTTTGTGGAGGAAATTGTCCAGTTTAAAGATTTTATTCGTGATAAAGGCATCACATCTGCTCGATTGCTTTTACAATTCATTAGGGAAAAGAAACTGCAGGACATCTTCCCAAATGTGGATATTGCTTTCAGGCTTTACCTGACATTTCCTGTCACAAATGCAAGTGGTGAGCGATCATTCTCCAAGCTTAAAATAGTTAAAAATAGACTCAGATCCACAATGGGACAAGAAAGACTGAACCATTTGACTCTCATGTCTATTGAGAGTGATCTAGTGAGAAAGCTGGACTTCAGTGATCTTGTCAAGGAATTTGCAGTAAAAAAATCCAGAAAAGTGGGCAACTTTTCAAATTTCATATCAGACTAAGCTTAAATGTCTGATAACCCTTTCACTCATTACTGAAAGGGCTTGGTGTTACTGGTTAGGGCAGTGGTGTCCAAACTGTTTGACATGAGGGTTAAAATTATCTCAAAAGAACTTTGGGTCTGTAAAATAATTTGAAAACAAACTTGGTCTTTTTTAAAGTTTATCTGCTAAATTAAAGTAAAAATTTTAATGATTGTAGATACAAAACAAAGATTGTGCATGTGCATTATAAGACAGGCTCAAAGTTTCAAACTTTTCAGGGTTTAGTATTGTTTTCTTATTTGGTTTGCGTTCGAGTTCCTACAAAGAAGTTAAATGAAAAAGTGTCATTAATAAATGGAAATCTGTATTTTGTTCTTCATATTTTTCAAAATTTCTCTGTAAAAACCTTGGTCTAGAAGATGAAAATTGTTCATGTTCATGTCCACCTCTGCTTTGGACTGGACAGCACTTTGGACTTACCTGGGTCAGGATATTTTCTGAAAACTACAGTATGCCTGATCTCTTTTATATTGTTTATATCCATGTTCTGTCTGACTGGCAGAGAAGTACTTTTTTTTACATTTATTTCCTCCAGAGTTGTTTGTAGTTTGTGACAACTGGCTTATTAAAGTTGTCAAAACTTACTGTTCGGTCATTTTCTGCTCATCCTCTAAAACAAAAACACATACTATATATATATATATATATATATATATATATATATATATATATATATATATATATATATATATATATATATATATATATATCTTTTTCTTTTTTTTTTTTTGACTCTAGCCCAGGGGCCCCCATCCTGACTC